AGAGAGAGACAGAGAGAGAGAGAGAGAGAGAGAGAGAGAGAGAGAGAGAGAGAGAGAGAGAGAGAGAGAGAGAGAGAGAGAGCCAGTAAGGAACGAAGCGGTCCGTTGAATGAAATTTGCAATGGAAATTTAATCTGACTCGATTCGTCCCGCGTAGCCGGCAGTCCTCTCCTTAACGCCAGTCATTGTTATGTTTTGCGGAATTTTCGACAGGGAATTGTGCGCCTCGGGAAAAGAACGCGGCAATATCGCGTCGAGCAACGTCTCTCTTTCTTTCTCGCTTCTCGACCAACTCCCCGTAATTATATATTCCGCCGAGAGACGATGGGCTTTTCTGAATATCACGCAGCCAAGAAATATCGTGGAATGAATCGCCATCGTTTAGCGAAATAGAAGAAACGCGCATGACACGACAGTTTCATTATCTTTTTTGATTGAAGTGTTATAATTTCATTGGTACAATGACGCATAGATAAGATAATTTTATGGCAATCAGATGTTTGATTGATGACACAAGTCTTTTTACTGTGCAATAAAAATGGTCTAATTGGAGTACTTCGACCGTATTTCTCGTATGTGCTAAGTTAACACAACGATATGCTTGTTTGGTAGTTGATTTACAACCTGTACAAATAACGTGATAAGTAACTACAAGTCATATAGTCCTTACCTCGGATAGATTATACTACACGAAACGATATTAACAAAATCTCCTACATAGCAAGTAAAACACAGAAAATATCGTTGCAAGTTTCAAGACCTTAAATCAATTATCAAGAATAATATTAATGCAGTTTCACAGAAGTATAAGAAATATATAGGGAGTGTAGGAGATTGTTCGGAAATCTGCTACAATAATTATAAGCTCTACGAAATACGGACGAAACCCTAAACAAAAATAGATAATGCGCGTTGATATTAAAATGTAACAACACGTCACCTAAAGCCGAAAGTTTTCACTTGAAGTTCTTTCTCGTTAAAACTATCGCACAATACATTATTTAGATAGCCATGGTACGAGTTGCCTCTTGTCGCCATTTACCGAGCAAGCCACTTAAATACAACATCACCAGTGATTATGCAAAATCCCTTTATCTAGAAAAATCGCAAGAGATGTTTTTCCGGCATCCGATCCAAAACCTGCCTAACTCACTCGAAGAAGCGGAGAGGAGACGAGAAGAGGCAGGATCAACTGGTTAGTGATTCAGAGTAGACCTCTAATTTCACAACGAGGAACGGAAGCACGAATGTTTTCGGGATATGAGGCTTTAATGCGCTTTTATCGCGCAGTGAAATAAATTCCCAACTGAAAATGCATTATTACGAAGACATTTTGATACGCTTCGCAAAATTGCATGTACAGATTCAGTCTTACATCGTCAGTGCACAAACGTGCTTGCATTTTTGCCTTATCTTCTGCGATAATATATTTAGTATATATTTAAATTCTTACGACTATATGCTTCTCCGTTCCCTTTTTGCCATTACTTTCCTTATCAATTACAGCAAATAGTTGAAAATAAGGAGCATTTGAATTTAACTTCTCGTTGATCTCGTTATAGTTGACGTTTATGGAACGATAAATATATAAGCTTTAGATATTTATAATTTCCATTCAAGCAGTTACTTGAAAACGTCAATCGCGATTACTTTTCAAATTTTTCTCTCGGAAGAAGCATCACAGAATATCCCTTCTAAGTGGAGAATGCAAATGCTATTTCTATTTGACAGCAACACACCACCATCCGCGCCCTCGGGACGCACTTCACCGGACCGGAAAAACGTCAACTTCCCCAGGCGCAGAACTCAATTCGTTCCGTTAGTGCGTAGTTAAAAATCTTTTCCGTTTTTTGACGATTCGAGTTAAATGCAATATAAACAGCAATCAAAACGCGTTACGCAAAGAGTTATTTCCCCGTTGATTTATCTAACACCTCGAATACTATACAATACACATTTTTCTAATTTTTACACCAAAATGATATAGGACATATAGCTATGAAATTTATGCGTAGAGAAAAGTCCCCCATTACAAAATAAACTCCTAATATGAGATAGCGGAGGTTCTGCTAAATTAATAGGGCATTATCTGTTGGTTCAATCGTGAATTTCTTGCCCTTGTGGTGAAATATGTTTAGCGGGAAATTCATTGTTAAATCGCGCAATCGTTGCGGGATAAGATTTGTGACTGAATTTGGATGTTGAAACTTGCTATCTCATATTAGGTAGTCTATCTCATAATAGGGAATTTTCCTATAATAATATTTAGCGAGATATATAATTGCGCATTTATGAAGTGAAAAGTAAACTTTTTTTATCGGTAAGTCCAAGGTTACCCACATATTACATAAAGCGTAAATTACATCGTTATATATAGACACGCCATTGAAGATAAACGGACCTAGCTTGGTTACGTAATTCTCAAGTAGATTTCTCATCGAGATAATCCAGTACCGTACGATGAAGAGTAGATCCATTATTTATACCCATTATTTAAACTGTGCGATCTAAGAATTTTCCAACGTGACGATCCGTTAAAAAGAAAATTAATGTAAAAAAATAATCTTTTTTATGTATTCAAAATTTCTGCCTACACATTTCTAATTTTAAACAGTAAGTAGATATGCAATAAATACATTTCTTTTATCGATATCTGAAAATAATATTTACTCCGTTATGTATTAGATGAGCCAAAAGTTCTGAGCTTTTTTGCAAAATTCAATCTTTATTAAAGAACAAACGAAAAAATATTAATCAGCGAAATATTCCTCGTTTGCATCGATGACCTTTTGCCATCTTTCGAGTAGCTTGCGAATTCCTTGACGATAGAAGCTCACCAGCTTCGAAGCGATAAAGTCATCAATGCATTTTCCTATCCCTTCAAGTTTCACGAAATATGTATTAGCCAAGTGATGCTGCAGCGACCGGAATAGGTAGTAATCGGAAGGCGCCATGTCTGGGCTATACGCCACGTACGGGACAAGTTCCCAGCCTAACGCAAAGGTGTGGTACTGAGTCGCTTTCGCAACATGTGGTCAGGTATTATCATGAGACAGAATCACTTTACGACGTCCTTAGCCAGTAAATAGTATCTTTTCTTCTAACACATCGCTCAAGTTGGTCAATTGTTGCTGATAAAGGTCTTCCGTAATTGCTTCACCTGGCTATATCCAGCGATGCATGCAATTAGTCCGTCTCAATCTTTTGAGAGCATCCAGCATGCAGTTCATCTTCAAGACTGAAATCTCCTTGGCGAAATTTTTGATGCCATCTTTTACACGTAGCACGACTTACAGCCTCCTCTCCATGTGCAGCACAAATCATTTCAGTGGCTTCGGCAACATTTTTCTTCAGATGAAACGCGAAGTGGATGGAAAATCGAATATGCTCTTTTGTTATTGCCATCGTGAACACTACTGATTTTTGAGATTATGTGCGTCAAACGTCAAACCGCATGGCATTTTAAAAGGCCAAATGTCAACGCTTTAAAATCGCAAAAGGGCGGGAAGATAAATAAAATGTAAATTGTTGTTTCGGTTGTATGGAATTAAAGCTCGGGGCTTTTTGGCTCACCTATTATTTTGTTTTATTTAAAGATTATCTAATAATTGATTTCATTAATTGTGTTATAATAATCGTTGATAAGATTAGCTTTCATCGCATTTCGCAAATTATGTTGTATTATCATTGTTTTCAATACTCGTTAGCTGATATTCTATCTGGTACAATTATAAGCCAGTACCAAGTAATTCTTAACTGTATAAAATAATATTCAAAAATATCAAAAATCAAATAAAATTAATTTGTTTATGTCATATCTACACACATGTTATTTCATTTTATTTATCTTAATTACTTTAATATATTGGGTTATGTAAACACGTACAGTGATGGATAAAATGGTTGCATCACTTTTTTTGGGGGGCCCAGCTACCACAGTGTTCGCACGTATACGTATATTTTATAACTTGACTGTCTTATTCGACGACGATGACTGATTTAGTATCACTCGAAACGGACCCAAAAGTATAGGGTCAAAACGTTGTGTAATAAATTAATTAAATAACTAGCCTGTTGGGTTGACTATAAGTCTCCCGTCTCAATCTTTCATCATTTCTAACAATAAGCAAACGCTCCTTTCGTCGATTAATAATATACTCATCCAGTAATACAGTTGAATTCATCTTACTACGGCACTGGCTTGATTATAGCTCCTTTCGTTTGCGTGAACGCTAAAGTGCAGTGTTACTGCAACTGTACTGAAGTGAAGTACTCAGTGCGCGTCGGTCGCACACATAGACAGACGTATTCAACAATCATACTTAACGCATTGTGCATCGCACGACTAAAAATGTCTCGCAATGAAGAGTTTCAAAGTTGGATCAAAGAGGCGATGCCAAAAATCATCGAGAGTTTCGGGCCGGATATCAGTGAAGTTCGGTATGAGATAACCGAGCCCACTAGCCTTCGCATGTCCAGTATGTACCACGCATGCGTAAAGTTTAAAAATAGACTGACGGACCAGAATGAGGAACATTATATGATATTGAAGAGACCCGCACAGGTAGAAATCTGGAGACAGATGACTGGTAGCGACTTTCAATTTCATAACGAAATTTTGTTTTATCGGATATACGCTCGACCGAATGACAACCTCCCGAGATGTTTTCACGTCGACGAGAAGCCTCCTACTGACTCGGTGATTGCTCTGGAAAACGTCAATAAACGAGGATACTGTCCTTGTCCATACAAATATGACGTTCCTTTGGAATACACATTGGCGGCGATGCGCGAGATAGGACGGTTCCATGGCAAAGGATACGTCATGAAGGAACTGCAGAAGGAAAACTTGTTCGAAATCGTGAGGCAGATTCAAGATCCCAGGTTTGAGGAGAGAGTGAAGTCAATAAATGAGTTTAAGCTTCTTTGCAACTCTCAGGCAACGCGAGCGGTGGAATATCTTCGCAGTCACGACCACGACGCAATTTTCTGCGACAAAATGGAAGCTTTACTCTCGAACGCGTTCGACGAAGTGATGATGAAGACGATTAAACCATTCGAACCTTTGTCCACGCTGTGTCACGGCGATTTTACATTGGATAACACTCTCTTCAAGATGGAAGATGATGGACAGCAACGTGCAATGCTAATCGACTTTGCGCTTATTACATACTCGACTCCTGTCGTCGACCTTTCCACGTATCTTTGCCTGCACTGCTCGAATGAAATGAGAAAGGACAAATTCTCCGAGATAATGCGGGCTTATCACAATTCATTAAAAGAATATCTGCTGGATGCCGGCGTTTGGAACGACGAGAAGTACTCGTACGACGCTTTATTGGACAATTACAAGAAAGGTGGTCTCTTTGGGTTTGTCATCGCAGCCTATTTCTTGCAAAACTTAATGGGGTACAGCGATAAAGATAAACAACAAACAATGGACTTGGATTTCGTAGAATATCTCAAGTTGCTCAAACAGAAAGGTGGGGACAAAGTATCCAAGATACTAGCTGATATGTTGCTACAACTGAGGGACTTTGGTTGTTTAGAACACTTTTTATAATCATAAAATTTTTATATATGTATGTGACAATACTGTATTAACACTTATGCTACTATTAACGAATTAGAGTATTTATATTTTATGTAGAGAGAAAAGAAATAATAAGTTCAAAATTTCCAAGTATACAATTATGCTTCAGGCTTAAGTTATATTTAAATAAAAAGAAAGGATCAGAAGATCGTTTGTGTCGTAAATATAATAGAATATATTTTTATTTGTATCTTTAAAATATTTTTATTCTTTCGCCATTTTTCCTTTCAATATTCGTTTGCTCTTATTATTTAATCATTTCCATTGTTTATTCACTTCTCTATTTTTATTATATGTTCATTATTATGTTTTTTTTACCTTGACTTTCAGCCAAAATAAATGCTGTAACTGAAGAGTATCTATACATAAATATTTATATATAGAATTTATTTTGCATTTTTTGCTTTTTTACAATGATACTGATATAATAAAAATATCGTGATTTTTCATGATACTGAAATTTATATCTGTAAATTTTAACATAAAAATAGAATATTTCATGTGCGTATTTATATATGATTAGATTAAAATGTTGTTTACTTGTGTTTTATACTTCTTTGCGCTTGTCTTCTATTTATAACAGTTTCTGCGATATGTACAGAAGTATTATATCTCCCCCACACACTTTTAACCTTTCCTTTCTCATATATAAGATGTTCTTATATAACCTAATTGTCAGAGCTACGCAGTATCGTTCAGACGTCACTCGAGCTAATCAATCGCTCGTATATTACTCTCGCGTTCAAAGTTGAACAAAACAGTTATCAAGTTGCAGAACGAGTAGAATGTCGCGTGTAGAAGAGAATAAATGGATAAAAGAAGTAATGTTACAGGTTATTAAGAATCTCGGATCAAACGTGAATGAAGCTGGATACGAATTGTGTAAACTCGCTGAAAATCCGATGTCTAGTCAGTATTATATAAATGTGAAGTTTAAGAACAAGAATGGCCAAAGCGAGGGACGCTCTATCTTGCTGAAAAGACCTACGCAATTGGAAAAGTGTAGACTGGTACATTACATCGATTATCAATTTCACAATGAGATCCTGTTTTACCAGATGTACGCTCAGCCCGGTGATAATTTTGCGAAATGCTTCTATGCCAACGAACGATCGCCTATCGATTCGGTGATTGCTTTGGAGAACGTCAACGAGGGAGGATACTATCCTTGCACGTATGTATGTGACGCTCCTCTGGAATATACATTGGCGGCGTTTCGTGAGATAGGAAGATTCCACGGTAAAGGGTATGTCATGAAGGAGTTGCAGCGCGAGAAGTTCTTCGATATTGTAAAACGAATTCAAGAAACTAGGTACGACGCGACGTATACGTTTAAAAATTTCGTCGACATAATTGCAACGCGAGCAGTGGAATATCTTCGCAATCATGGTCACGATGTAACCTTCTGCGATAAGATGGAAGCTTTACTCTCGAGAGCATTTGACAAAGTGTTGATGAAGGCGGTGGAACCGCGGGAACCATTGTCCACGCTGTGTCACGGCGACTTTACATTGAGCAATACTCTCTTCAAGGCGGAGAACGAGGGACAATACCGAGCGATGCTGATCGACTTCGCGCTTTGCAGATACGCGACTCCCGTCGTTGATCTTTCCACGTATCTTTGTCTGTGCTGTTCGAATGAAATGAGAAAAGACAAATTCTTCGAGCTAATGCGAAGCTATCACGATGCATTGAAAGAGTACCTACTGGAAGCTGGCGTTTCGGATATTGAGAAATACTCGTACGACGCTTTACTGGACGATTACAAGAGAGGTGGCCTCCTCGGTTTCATCATCGCATCTTTCTTTTTATCAGTATTAAAGGGTTACGTAAGAGATCCAAACGTAGTAATCATGGACTGGGAGGAGAGAGGAAAAGTGTTGAAGCAAGTCGGCGGAGACGAAATATCCAAGATACTAGCTGACATGTTACTGCATCTGAAGGATCTTGGTTGTTTAACATACTTTTAAATAACCCTTGAGATAACAATGCGGTACCGAGCATACACGCGTGATATGAGATAAAAAGATACAAGTGCACTGAGAGAAAAATATAGTTATTTTTGGCCTCAACCATATTTTTATGATTCCTCCAACGTAAGTTATGGTTGACCTAACAATACCTAACAATGTACATTGTTAGGTCAACCATAACTTACGTTGGAGGAATCATAAAAATATGGTTGAGGCCAAAAATAACTATATTTTTCTCTCAGTGTGCTTAGTTTAAGTAGTAGAAACAATAAAAAAAAAGAAAGCTAAACGAAAAAGACGTTTCTGTGCACAAATCGTAAATAAATAAAAATCTACTATTATTGATTAAAGTTTACGCATATATATTATATAAGTTATAGCTATTAAATACTAACACAGCTAGTTCACTTAAAATCGTTGTTACAATTTTCTTATGAAGTAGATATAGGTAATTTGTCCAACTTTAAAAAGATGAGCAGAAAGGACTTATTGTAAACAATGTAAAGAAATGTTTTTTAATATGTAATTTTATTAATGGGAATATTCTTAAAAGTCGCCAGCAGTAACATCAGTGATTTTTATTGACCGTATCTGGCAATTTTAATAATACAGAAAATTTATTGCGAAAAATATTATCTCAGCCATTGTTTGAACCTGGACTTCCCTACACGCTAGGTAGGCGTCTCAACCAATTCGACCACCGAGGCATATATAAAAATCAATAAAAATCACTGATGTAATTTTATTATTAAAATTTTAAGTATTATGGCGCATATTAATTAATTTCAGCATTTATATATTATCATCATGTACAAATAGTGTACCACTGGAAATGTAGTTTGATAATCTGTCACATATTAATATGGATATTATTTTGCATTTATGTTCTTAAGTAGCATACAATAATTTCTGTGAAATCTTTTGAAGAAACAACAAATATGAAATATATTTGTAGAGAATCCAGCCACATAATCAAGTAAATAGAAAATGTGCCATTAAACAGTCAGGTTGGACCTTTCACTATCCCGATGTCTTTAAAACTATTACAAAGATATATATTATTATTAGATTGATTATCAATTTAGTTATACGATTAAATTATTCTAGCTTCATATTTTAAATCGCGTTTTCAGAGCAACAATAACGGAAAATGAAATAGTTTGCTAAATGAAAAGTATACCTACATAATCCATGCGAAAAATGTTAGGTACAAAAATTCCAGCTTGACCATATATTGACACACTTTCTATTTATTTCTATTTATTTTTTATTTATTTGTTATCACTAACATGACTCACTTGATATGTGCCAGCCATATAAATATGATAAAATAGAAGAATTGATTTAAAAAAATTTTAGATAACAGCTCTTTAAATATTGTTAACGTTACAAATATTTTATGAAGCATCAGCATTTGCTAAATTTGTCACGCTTCCATTACGTTCTTCGTTAATCTCATGTTACGAACTTACAAAAGGTCTCGTTCTTTTACATTGAGTCATTCAGTTTTCACAGTCATTCGTTACTCTTCGCACGATTCCGTATTTCATCTACTTTCTTTCAGCTTTCTTCGAGTGGCCGCGTATTGTTCGCGAAAGCATCTTTCGTGACCCCGTTTTTTTTTGCACCTATTCGAACACCAAAGAAGAGAGACGGGGATGAACCGTTTAATCCTCCAGAGTGAAACGTAAAAAGACATTCGTCGCTTATTTTAAAGTATTTTATCATTTACTAAACTCAGTTAAAAATAGAATAGAGATAAGATATCAAGATCAGACCAGTTAGATACATCAACTGAACTGACACAACATCGGAAATAAAGTTTTGAAGTTAAACAACCTAATTGTATTTTATTACATAAACGTGTTATTTTATCTTATATTTTTAATATGATTTATTGTAAAGTGTATTCCAGAAATTAATTGCTGTGTATGCACGATAATGTAATCAGCCATGTTGCTGAACTTTACTAAACTCTGTGAAAATCGAAGTACTAAAATTTTCCGCCCGATCGTTCAATTTTAATTTTAGCATTATTTGTAATATTATTAATTAGCAATGTTTTTCAAATTATTTTGTAACATATCACATTTTAAATATTATTATTATAATATTTATTTTAAATATTATTAGTAATATTTCTTCTCGTTTTTAACCTTTTGCCTCTGATTTGGTTTTAGTTATTTATTCTTTAATTATCGATTCTAGTTTTACCCTTCCGACTCAGATCTGGTTTAGTTATTTATTTACTGTTAAATTCTCCTCGTATCTCCTCTATACCACCTTAGACTTTAGTCTTACTGTGGTCGTTACGTCGGATGAATGTGCCTTCGAAAACACAGTTCTCCGAGTGACCCCCAGAGATAGATGTCAAATCTCTTTTTTAATTTAATATAAACGACGTAATACTTGTAAGTAAAGAATATTTTATTTGGCTCGAAATCCGACTGATTTCATGTTGTAATTGATAAAATCTAAATTGAAATTGTCCTCTAAAATTTATGAAACTTGTAGATTATCTAATTTCTTGAAAAGGACCACAATCTGTATGGTCGAAACGTCGGAATCAAACAAATAAACCAGCTGCTAGCCCAAAGTCGTGTAACAATTCTGTTTACTGATAATTAACTACTGGCGATCCACACTCCTTTGTTATTATTGTTATTTTCAAAATATATAATGATATTGAACGATTAATCGGTTACTGATGGTTACTGATCCTCTAGATATGTACAATTATAAATTCATCACATGCACTGTCACCACGTTAATACATGCTACTGCAGCATAGTAATCTGTTAATAAGTGACTCATATTTTTGACGTCATACTGACAGTATGAAACTTAAACTGACAGTATCGTACGAGTCACGGTACAATCAAGTTAACAAGTTCAAGTCGAGCTAGTCCGTGCCAGTCTTGCATTAGCACATTCTGAGCCTCGAATATAACGATTTACACAGTGTATCGCTAATAAAATGTCTCACACCGAAGACTTTGAAAAGTGGGGCAAAACAGCAATATTGAAGATTATTAAGAATCTCGGACAGGATGCCGACGACGTTCAGTCCGAACAAATCAACTTTATATCTATTGTTTATTTTGTATGCGTGAAGTTTAAGAATGGAACAAAGGGCCAGAGTGAAGAACTTTCTATAGTAATGAAAAGACCTATGCAGATAGAATGGATCAGACAGGCCGCCAAGAGTGACTTTCAATTTCACAACGAAATTTTATTCTATCGGATGTATGCTCAACTTTGCGGGATGTTACTACGTCGATGAACGACCACCCCTTGAATCGGTGATTGCTCTGGAAAACGTCACCAGTCGAGGATATTATTCTTGTCCGAGTAAGTACAGCGCTTCTTTAGAATACATATTGGCGGGGATACGTGAGCTTGGACGATTCCACGGAAAAGGATACGTGATGAAAGAGCTGCAGCGGGAAAAATTTTTCGCTATTGTAGAGCAGCTTCAAGAAGCTAGATATGATGGCATGACAAATGATTTATACAAGAATTTTATCGATACAATTGCAACGCGAGCGGTGGAATATCTTCGCAATCATGGTCACGATGTAACCTTCTGCGATAAGATGGAAGCTTTACTTTCGAATGCATTTGACGAAGTGATGATGAAGACGGTGGAGCCGCGAGAACCATTGTCCACGCTGTGTCACGGCGACTTTACATTGAGCAATACTCTCTTCAAGGCGGAGAACGAGGGACAATACCGAGCGATGCTGATCGACTTCGCGCTTTGCAGATACGCGACTCCCGTCGTTGATCTTTCCACGTATCTTTGTCTCAGTTGCTCGAATGAAGTGAGAAAAGATAAATTCTCCGAAATAATGCGAGCCTATCACGACGCATTGAAAGGTTATCTACTGGAAGCTGGCATTTCGAACATCGAGAAGTATTCGTATGATGCTTTACTGGAAGATTACAAGAGAGGTGTTCTCTTCGGTTTCGTTATCACATCCTATTCTTTACCAACATTAATGGGAAACGTCGCGAGTACCGATTTGGAACAACCTGGAAACGAAGATTCCATCGACCGCGCAAAAAAGAACAAAGAATTAGGCGGAGATGAAATGTCCAAGATATTAGCTGATATATTGTTAGATTTAAGAGACCTTGGTTGTTTAAAATATTTTTTATAACGGGACTTATTCCATAACATATATTAGATTGTTATTGATTATCAATTATAATAATAACAACAAAATATAAATCTTTAGAATCTCTATAATTGAGCAAAATGTATCGTCTCACTCTTTACAATGATAATACTGATAATACTGATAACATGCGATAATAACATGTTTTCTTCACGTTTCTATTCAACTGCCTAGTGTAATGTAAACTGCACATGATTAATTTCAGCTAATTAAAAAATAAAAATAAAAATAGAATACTCTTGTTAGATAATCGATCAGTAATATGATGTTGTCACGTTATAATTACTAAGATAATTTCAAATGCTTATCTATGATTTTTTCATCATATATAGTATTTTAAATCATATGATAATTTTTTTCTTATATAATCATGAAGTTGAAATCCACAACAGACATTATCTTCTCACATATTTGCACATTATGTTGATATAAACAAATAGTTAGATAATTTTCTAATACCACGATCTATTTATAATAGGGTAAAGGCAGGCATTATGGCCAGGCAGTTAATATGGCCACAACGCCCGTATTAAATATTCTAAACATTGATAAACATCAATAATGTATAAAAACCAATTATTGTAGCTATTCTTGAAGTTTGGTAAAATAAATCTCTCTATTTTGTTGTTATTTGTGGTTTGGTGCTTCATTGTTCTCCATAACCATCAAAATGTACACGTCAAAGTAAGACATGGCACTTCCAACTAAGTAAGATTTTCAAATTAAAACAAAATAATTTTGGCTTTTCTCATTACACATTTCAAAACCTAAACCTTGGCTATATTTTTATAATAAATTTATCGTGCTTTGCCCATTATTTTGATAATTATAATGCACATTATTAAATGTATGCTCGGCGGCTAACATGGCCAGCGACAAAGGTAGCTACTATGGCCAGCGAGTACAACAGAGTATAGAGTACGCCAGTGCTGAGAGTGATAACAGCGAAGGAAGAAAATAGTTATTTCTCACAATTTATTAATAAATTGTGAGAGCACGGCGTTACGTAGAGAGAGTGGACATACACATACACATTTCTTAAATGTGTATTCGTATGTTTAAAATATCTCAAAGTTTATGTTCTGTACGATTAAAGTAATACTTTACGATTAAAGTAAATACCTCACTTTTGCAAAATATTACTGTTTTGTACACTTTTTTTATAGTTGGCCATATCTACCCCAAA